GTGCCGTCCCAGCATCATGGTTGGTGTTGTTAGGTCTCTCGTTGCTCTAGGTGGGATAATGAGGTCTGCCATGAATTGTTTGTTGATAGTGGTATGATTTTTGATAGTTCCCTTCCTGAAAGCGATAGTTTCAAGAGTGAGGCTGCCATAAGCTTGTAGCCTGGCCGCACCCTTTGCTGCTTCGCCTTGCAGGAACAGTATGATGTCAGAAGTGTCGGTGAGGTGATTCAATGCGATAAAAGGTGTGCTTGGCATGGCACCAGACATCATTCTGAGTGCCAATGCCTGAACACGTTTGAGTTTCTTCGCGTTATAGTCCGTTTGAGTGGCCCTGATCCATATACTACAGCAGTAGGATAGGATTGGACGGATGACAGCCGTGTACATCCATTTGCATGTTTTGGGGCTCATACCCCATGTGGGGCCGACAGCTCTTCGACATTGCATGAGGGATGCCGTGGCTTTTTTGGTGGTGTTGATGATATGTTCATTGAAGTTGAGTTTGCTGTCCAAGGTCACTCCTAGAAATTTAGCAGACTTGGAAAGACCTATAATGTTGTTGCCAACTGTTATAATAGGTCTTAGAGTCCACTTACTATTCCAGGTAAACATGACTATCTGAGTTTTAAGGGCGCTAATAGATAGCTCTTTGGTTCTGCACCAATTTTCTATCGTTTTAATAGTTTTGCATGTTCGGTCCCAGATGATGTCTAAATCATCCCCTTCCGCTAGAGACAACAGATCATCCGCAAAGGCTTGCAGGTAACCCGGGATGTCTTTTGCGGTAAAGGAAAGGAGATCGTCGACTACCAGGTTCCAGAGAAAAGGAGAGAGAATGCCTCCTTGGGGGCAACCTCGCCTGATCCGTACCCTTCTCGACTTATCCTTATGATTTAGTGTGATGAATCGATTGGTTACCATGTTGATGATCCACTGTGCTGTAGCCAAGTCCACTTTCGTAGCCTTGACTGCTTCAGAGATAGCCTTGAACGAGACATTATCGAAGGCGCCCTCTATATCTAGAAAGACACCTAGGACATATCCTTTCTTGGCTATTCTGCGCTCAATGGTGTGAGTAACTTTATGAAGTGCCGCTTCTGTGGAGCAGCCCTTCTTAAAGCCGAATTGTCGTTTGTTGATATCATTAGCTACACACTGTTACCATAGCAACTACACACTGTTACCATAGCAACTACACACTGTTACCATAGTAACCACACACCGTTACCAGGAACGAGAGCGAGGGTCGACAAGGGGCTATTGCGATGCAATCTGGACGAGAGTCCAGGCTGGCTCCCTAAGTTCCAACCTCTCGGTACTGCAAACGATACATTTTCTAATCCTGATCACCCATATCCAAGTTACAGTTATACAATAAAATTACAATCTCATCGTACTCACATCTCTTGAGTTAAGCGCAAAGCGTCACTATAGGACCTTCGCGATGCGAACCAGACACATAGTCTGGACTGGTACCTCAGACGCTAACGTGAAACTTACAGAGTATATAACAACTTACTCTAACGTGAAACTTACAGAGTATATAGGATATAACAACTTACTCGGGCGTAAGGAGTCGATACGGAGCTATTGCGATGCAATCCAGGCAAGTGTCTGGACTGGCTCCTAAAACTCCAAACGCTCGGGCGAGCGGCATGACAACTCTGATAAAAAAAAAAAAAAACTTGAACCTCTGTTCAAAGCACAGAAAATGTGTGCCCGCATAATGTTTGGAGATAAAGAAGCATACTTGGATAAATTTAAAACTAGTGCACGATGCAGACCCTACGGGGAGCAAATCCTGGGCAAGGAATTCTACAGAAAGGAGCATACAAAACCCCTCTTCAACACTCATGAAATCATGAATGTGCATAATCTGTACTTCTACCATTGTATTAATGACATCTTCAAGGTCTTGAAATATAGAACCCCTATATCACTATACTCCCTCTTTGAAACATCTGGCAGACTTGGCAAAGAGACACTAATTCTCACACCTAAACCATCAGACAGCTACATATACAGAGCAGGGACAATATGGAATACAGTACGACAAAATCTCATGCTAACTACATTCACCTGTTATAAGCCCAATCACCTCAAATCATCCATAAGAATCACCATCACTCACACTCAAAAGGAAGGAGAACCAAATGACTGGAACTTAGCTTTAAACAGCGTTCGACAAAATTCAAAAACTTTAAAATTGACCTTGCCTAGATTACTTAAGCTTGAAAAAGCGGTAATATCTCAGCAAAATATAACTTGCAGCAGCCCCATACCTTGTCATGAACATAATATCGAAACTACCTCTGTGATCACATCTTTCTCTGGGTGCAAAATGAATATTATATATATAATAGGTTTATTAGTTTTATAGAAATTTAAAAGTTCTATAGAAATTTATTATATAAGGATTATAAACATTTTATTTGTGTGTTTTGTGTTATGCATTTTTATACCGATTTTAGAAGAGATTTTTATAGAATGTTAGAAGTGCAGTAGGGTCAGTTTCAGACGAATTAAGCATAAATGACATCACTGCCATGTCTGAAGTGGTTTGTAAATGGGCCATTATAAGCCCCAAGCGTTTTGGTCCCTCATTCCTGCCACTCAGCATTGCCTACTGTAAATTAGAAATTTTTCTAAGATAATAGAGAAACTGACCTTGTCTCACTAAATTCAACCACTTACCATAATAAAAATACTAACAACCAAATAAAGTTTTTAAATAATTATATACAATCACCAAAAATATTTCCTCAAGTTTACTTCTAGCTAACTAGTTCGTGGTTTAAGCTCTTATTTTATTTATGATTAAAGGAATGTAAAATAAAACTTTTCGTTTCATTGGTCATTGATTCTTTACAAATAATTATCTTACCAAACATACAGTACGCAAAACGAACGTAGATTTCAATTCTTATATAGCGAAATAGCCGAAGTGCGTGGAGGCCGGGGAGAGGGGCTAGCTCCGGCGCGGCGCGCGCGCCGGGATAGCACCCCAACACGTCAACGCGCAGCAGAGTAGTGGGGTCGGCCACACTACCGAATACACGAGAAGCCAACCCGGGATTTATTACCCGCACGGCTATATTATCATGCGCAGTTGAAACCTGGGGGCTCGCCGACCAGGTTCACCGGGTGGAAACTGGAGGCATATATGACTCCCATATCTGAAAGCAGGTTGGGGGCACTACGGAAAGCTTAGAAGCTCCCGTCACCTACTAACTAACTACTAACTATGTATTTATTATAATCATGTGTCTGCTGAAAATCTTTAAACTTGTGATTAATAGATTTTACAAATGTTTTACATACATTTTTCTCACTTTTTATTATTTGAAAATTCAATTAATTATTATATATATAAATCAAGCGTTACATTTCAGCCATGCAAAATTACAATGACATATTTTGATATACTAATTGATAAATGGTACTGCAATATAAGTTGCTTAATGTTTGGCCGGATGGCAACTAACTAAAAAATAAAAATAAACTTGATTACATAATAATTAATTCGGCTGAACCAACACATAGCTAGAGCCACATTAATGTGGGGCCCTCTAGCTCAGTGGCGTAATGTTGCATGTTGGTGCCTCCCCCCGCCGAATAAGCACCCCCTTATTGGCGCCCCCTCCCCTTTTAGCGCCCCTCCCTAAAATTAGACAAATAAGGTGATCCTAGAGGATACGCTGGAAAAATCTCTAAACAAATGTGTTTCTAGATCAAAACGCGCAGTTTTGCTAGTACTGCTGTTAAGTTTTTCAAAATTGTCCTGCATTCAAATAATGATTTGGTGCAATGTTGCCCACCCCCTGGCCCTCCCGCTCAGTGGGGTCAGCTGCAGTCTGGCAGTGTTGAGTATCATAAGTATTTCCCTAACCTTCTTAAATCTTGTTGTTCAGGTATGACATATTTGGAGCTCCGATGGAATGCATATGTGGTTGGAACTTGATGTGATATTCAGTCATAACTTGAGGATACTAAGTAACAAGTTATAATATCTGATATCAACAGAATGGGAGAACTGCTCTGTCATGTTGAGTTACTGTCAGACTGTAAACTATGTAGTTCTTTTGACTACTGAATCCTCAAGAAATAGCATACTTCTTTACTAAGCATACTTCTTTACTAAGCAGCAATTGGTTAGAAACCATTCAAATGTAGTGGGGATGAAAATTGAAGCAGCAATTGGAGACTGGACTGAATGTTATAAATTTCAAGAAATTTATTTCTTTACTGAGCAGCAAGTGGTTAGAAACCATTCAAATGTAGTGGGGATGAAAATTGAAGCAGCAATTGGAGACTGGACTGAATGTTATAAATTTCAAGAAATTTATTTCTTTACTGAGCAGCAATTGGTTAGAAACCATTCAAATGTAGTGGGGATGGAAATTGAAGCAGCAATTGGAGACTGGACTGAATTCATCTCATGCTAGCTATCAGTAGTATTTCAGTGTAACTATGTTCTACACTGTTAGAAACCATACAAATGCAGTGGGGATGAAAAGTGATGTGATTTGATTTTCAGAGACTATCCCCATTATCTTCTTGGAATTTTCATTCTTTGTTAAGCAGCAACATCTTAAGACAATGAAAAGTTTCACTCTAAAGATGATTACTATGTTTATGTACTCTATTTTCAATTTCAACTATTCATTGTTATTTTCATTGCTGTGTTGAAAATGTGTTATATTAAAATTGTCATTGATTTCAAATTTTAATGCATTCTTTGCTTTGGAAAACTTTGCGGACTACTGATGACTAAGGTTATGCTAAATTAAACATCACATAATTTGGTGACAAAGCGCCGCTAACTTTACCAATCTTTAAACTGACTTTAATCTTAACCAAATTTGTGTCATAACTCCCTCCTGCTCTGCTATTACTAATCCCACACATATTGCAATTTATGAACCTAAATTTATATGAGCGAGTCTATTTAAATCGCTATTCTGTAACTTTATATCCACTAACACATACTGTTAAATTATAGCTTGCTTGTACCCCTACGTGTTATGGTGGCTTTATGCCTCGATGAAGAGGAAGTCCCCAACTATCATGAGGATGACCAGTATGAAGCACAAAAACTTGTCGATGAAATGGACGATGACAGTAAGTTTAATGAATTGTATCAAATGACTTGTACTATATCTGTACATAGATAATTTCAACTTTTAGCCAAGAATATGAAATACCGAAATAAGAATTTGTGATAAATGTCGAAGGATTTATTTAGTTCAACTTAGATTTACGTTTATTAGGCAAAGTGCTTGCGCTCATTAAAACATTTCTTTCAGCTTTGATCAGTGATATTCTAGATAACCGACCTCACTCCAGTGAAACGGTAAAGATTTTTATCATATTTTTATCGTATTTTTATCTCCTGATGAAAAGGGGTTTAGTCGAAATTATTGATTTTTTATTTGAAATGGTTCCTTTTCACTGATAAAAATTGCAAAAAATTTATAATTTCAGATAGAAAATGTTATTATAGTAGATAACATTCCTGTGACGGATTCCTCGAAACTGGTGAAACTCACGAATGTCCTTCTGAAGATCTTTAGTAAATGTGGCAAAGTGGAAACTCATCACATACCCCTGGATGAGAACTCGAAAACTAAAGGGTATGTTCTCCTCATCACTTATTTATTGCTATTGTTAATCTTGATATTAATAATAGTTGAGCATAAACATTTGTTGGAAAAAGTGATATTTCGGATAAAGGTATGTGCAGTGGAATCTGTGAGACTGTTAACTAGTATTGTTCCAAGGCAGTTAGGCAGAGTTATTACAACACAATAATATACTAGAGCTTAACAATAAGATTGATTTGTACTTTATTCAAAACAATTTGGAAAGAAATTTTGGCCATTTAATTTCGTATTGCAAATTATTGGGGGGGGGGGGGGGGGGGGGCATCCAGCATCAACCTCATAAATACCTATTATTCGGTATTCCCTCCGATTTCAAAATAGGTATAGGTATTTATGTATATTTATGGTTCTTTAAAGGTTTTGTTGTTTTTCAGTATTTTTCCCACTTTTAACATAATATAAGGGGGGGGGGGGGGGGGGGGGGGGGCCAACCATATTAAAGTATATTAAAGTATATCCCCGGGTCAAAATCGGAAAAAATCCTACATTTTAATATACTTTAATATACCTACAATTAGAAGATTTATATTCTTCGTTAAGATTTACATGATGAACTATATTTTTCACTCAGATTCGCAAGATAAGCCTGTTTTAGGACTAATACATGAATTTCCATCCAGATTGGTCAAAAATTGGCTGAGCTATGAGCTTTAAAAAATATGCCCATATTTGGGCATACGCTTTTGTCCAAATTCGCTTTTGCCCAAATTCGATAAAATTTCAATACTTTTTAATGAGACTAACTCTATGTGAAAGATATAACTCAGTGTTTGTTGGATATAGTGGATACTAAGTAAAAAGACCTCCATGAACAAAATTGGGAAAATTGCACATAATATCTCGGTTCAGAATACTAGCCAAAATTACTTCATTAAAATTGAATTAACTCCATCAGTTTTCAATATTTTTTCAAGAACTTTTTGGAATCGATTAAGGATTGCATTTCAAGCTTATTTTGGGCAACAATTTTTGATGTAGGCCTCCAAGGAGATAGGGATATATTAAAGTATATTAAAGTATATTAAAGTATATTAAAGTATATCCCCGGGTCAAAATCGGGAAAAATCCTACATTTTAATATACTTTAATATGGTTGGCCCCCCCCCCCCCCCCCCAATATAATATTCAATTCTATTCATAGTGTTAGCTGTTTTAAAGTGTTTTTACTGCACGAGGGGGTTGATATCAAGTTTTAAAACCAATTTATTGGGGTTGGGAAAAATTGGATTTTTTGCCTTTGTGTACCTTAAACTTGAGTTGTATAGGGTTTTTAATTTGATGCAAAGAACCTCGGATTTCGTCTCGACTCTCAACTAAACTTTGGTGAGCAAATCAAGCAACTTAAAACATCGTGTTTTCTGAAACTAAGAGACCTTGCTAAGATGAAAACATTCCTCACAACCAAACAGATGGGAACACTGACTCAAGCAATTGTAATCTCATCGCTTGACTACTGCAATGCGCTTTACTATGGTTGTAGTCAAGCCTCAATTACGCAGCTGCAGAACATTCAGAACCGAGCATGCCGTCTGGTTTTTGGATTAAAGAAGAGAGACTCAGTCGAAGAGAAGCTCAAATCCCTTCATTGGCTCAAGGTGAAGGAAAGGATTGAGTTTAAGTTATGTTTACTGATTTTCAAAGCAGTCAATGGTGTTGCTCCTGCATATCTGTGTGATCTAGTAACATTTGTTAGTTCGAGTAGCAGAAGAACTTCCTCCTTACACCTACCTGTCGGATCTACAAGATCGCACCCAAGAGCGTTTCAGACTGTTGCTCCGAAAATCTGGAACCAACTACCAATTGAAATTAAGACTTGTTCTGATGTTGATCTGTTCAAAACATTATTAAAAACTCACCTGTTTAAGAAAAGTTATGGCATGAGCGATTAATTGACAATATAACTTTATGTTATTTGCTTAAACTGTTTAGGATGCAACCTAATGTCATGATCTTTTTGAACTTATTAGCAATTAGACTGTTAGCTCGCTTCATAAGCATGTCATCTTCGTTCCAAAACTTTTTATGTCCTATTCATACACTCCTTGATAGTTATCTTGATCTAGTATCTTTGTTTCACACAATAGAGCATAAGTTTTGTGGTTTATCCACTGGGCTTAGAGTTTGTGTTTAAGCTACCAAATTTTATTATTATTATTATTATATGAACAGTTCAAACTATCAAAAGGTTGCTTATATAGAAGTTTCTGAACATTTTGAACAACAATTAAAAATATTTCCAAAATAAATTCAATGTAATCGAAAATTTTAAAGGTAAAATCTTGTCATGAGATTTTCACCTAAAACTTAAAAAAATCAATTTTGCTCACAATATTCTGAAACGTAAAATACCTATAAATAGGGTTAGGCCGTTAGGGTTAGGCCGTTAGGGTTAGGCCGTCAGGGTTAGGCCGTTAGGGTTAGGCCGTTAGGGTTAGGCCGTTGTCGGGGGGTCCTTAGCCAAGCCATCTTGTCCGGACATATTTATTTCGACCATATTCTATACGTTCATGTGAATTTAAGAAGTACTGGGTACATGTTTCTACCGTAATGGGTATTGCCAAGGGGCAACATTTTCACAGCAAATATACAGCGTAATTTCTTTCCGAATATTTGTGCAAACTTGTGCAAACCCTGTCCAATGGAAATGTGTTCTCAAATAATAACAAGAATTGCGCCATTACACTCTCTGCTTATCTCATGCTGATTGCTGCCACTAGGTAGTCCTGCAATTAGTCTATGGTCCCTATTATTACCGGTTAAGCCACTCATTAATAAGTTCTACCAAAACTGATTAATAAAAAAATCCATTTTTCAGGTTTATGTTTATCGTGTACAGAAATGGCCAGGAAGCAACGAATGCTATCTCGTCTTGTAACGGTTACAAACTGGACAAAAACCATTGCTTTGCCGTCAACAGACTCTCCGACTTTGAACAGTGAGTGAAAACGATTCTTATTTTATCAAAATACTGTAAATTTTTATTAGATTATTCTTGTTGTTGTCGTGATCAAAATCTCTTAAATATTATCTAGTTTAAACTCAACGTTTTCATGTAACTGAAAAATAAAAGGTCATAATATTAATATTCATATTCTAGGTTTTCAATCAAAAATTCAACCGTATATAATATGTAGTACCCTGGTGCAAAGTTAGTGTACAAATTATTAAATTGAAAACTGCATTGAAACCGCAAAAAAGATTAGTATTTTATCAAAAGAATGAAACTAGACTGCAAACAAAGGAATGCATACAATATAATTTATATGCGAAACTAAGATATACTATGTAGCAGGAATGCATACAATGAATTTAAAGAAATGCACGGTGAAACGGTAAGCAGGCACTGCAATGTGTGTTGGTGTGTTTGTTGAGTGAAGCGTAAAAATGGCAGGAATTTACCAATGAGTGTGAAATTTACCAATGAGTGTGAAATTTACCAATGAACGTGAAATTTCTATAGATAAGAGCTGGAATTTGAAGCCAATTTGAAGCCATGACCCTTCTCGCCTATGATATCTCTTAAAAGTATGCTGGTATCTATAACGAACTAATCTTATTTCCAGCTGCATGAGTATTCCTGACAAGTGGGAAGATCCAAAACCAGAACCATACAAACCACAAGCTAACCTGAAATCCTGGATGACTGATGCCGAGTGTTTTGATCAGTTTGCCATTGTTCATGGCAAGAACAGGAACACTGCTGTACACAGTTGTGGGCCCAGCCAGTCCTTCACTGTTCAACAGCGAGAGGTAGGTTCACATTCCAACCAGTTCTACTCCCTGATCCTCGTAATTCCGCCACGTTCTGTTGTGTCTGGGAGACAAAACTGCGCAATGTTTTATTATTTGTTTATTTTATGTTGTTGTGATCATACTGTAGCTAATTCAATAATCCTCCACTTTCAGGGTTGGACCGAATCACACGTGAAGTTTTCTCCAAAAGGATCGTATCTTGCAACATGTCACAAACAAGGTATTGCCTTGTGGGGAGGTCCAGAGTTCAGCAAAGTTGGACGATTCAACCACCCAAATGTTACATACTTCCAATTCTCTCCATGTGAAAGGTATGTTTGGTGAACTATTTTACCGCTCTAGTTCTGTTTATGACATCTTGACCTTGATAATTTACGCACAAATTTTTTCTGTTTTAAGATTAAAATCAAATTATTTCTCAATGAAATCTAGACAAGCAAACAACCGAATTTGCGTGCAGGTATTTTGTGACGTACAGTAAGACCTCACTGTCTCCTGAGGATCCGCAGAACCTTATCATCTGGGAGACGAGATCCTGTCTTAACAAACGAGCTTTCTCTCTTCCCGTTCTGAACTACTGGCCCTATTTCAAGTTAGTGCATATTTTATCAATATAATATGACCGTCAAAAAGTAGTAATTAATTAATTGACGATATTGATAAGAGACGTACTGAAAGTCGGTTAAAATAGTGGTCACAACGTGTTTGTTTGTTTGCGTCACGCGCTTATACTTTGAATCATAAAGATGACCCTCAAACTTCGCGCTTTGAACAAATTTTACCGCGCGCGGCACGACTTATTGCTTCATTATACAACGCTTCGTTGCGAAATTGTACAAAGATGTATGAAAAACAATCATTATTTAAAACTCGGGCACTAACCGTCACTCTTTCCTTATCCTATTCGTAAACGCACGCGGCAGAGTTGTGTATCTTGTCTGGACAGTATGTGGTTTACGCCATATGGATACTTTGACCTCTTTAACCCATTTAGTGCTACCGCGAACCAGTTCAGGGGTGAGGGGCGCAGATTAACCTATCTCGAAATGAGGCCTTTTCGGTTTAAACTCTTGGTATTTTTTTAGAGTGAGACTACCTCTGCAAAAGTTTTGTAATTAATAACTTTTAACAAAGAAGTTCGTCAAGCATGGAACCAATGGTTCCTGAGTGTTCTTGTGTTGGACGAAATAATGTAATCTGTATTCAATACTGTGCAACCTATGATCGCAGTAATCCACCATTCCTCCTTACAAAGCTTTTTTGCAGGTGGAGTCACGATGGACAGTACTTTGCTACCATCACGGGGGATAATCTGTCGATCTATTCAACACCCTCAATGAAACTGTTGGATAACAAGAAGATATCTGTACAAAATATCAGGTATTTAAAATATCTTGTTAATGTATCTAACATTGCTTTTCTTCTCTAAATTCGGGTACAAGTGTAGTTAGCTGCATGACTTCGTAAGTTTTTTTTTTATAATTTTCTTATTTCCATCCACTTCTCAGAGATTTCAGCTGGTGCCCATGTGAGAACTGGATAGCCTACTGGCAGAGTGAGAATAAAAACATTCCTGCTCGGGTCACCATCATGGATGTGCCCAGCTGCGAGCCTTTGTCGGCCAAGAATCTCTTCAACGTCAGCAACATCGAAATATTCTGGCAAAATTCAGGAAATTATTTGGCTGTGAAAGTGGACAGAACGATTAAAAACAAAAAGGTACGTTCAGTTTAAATTCCTTGCTTTGAATAGTGTCGTGATTAAAAGGCTGAATCCTCCTTCTAACCAGACCTCTTTATTACTTTTTGGTTATTAATTTCTCGTTGAATGTGCCCTTTCATTAATTTTTTATTACAGGAAGGAACGGAAAATGTGTTTGAAATATTCAGACTTCGTGAAAAGGATATTCCAGTCGAGAACTTCGAAATCAAAAGTAAGTGTCAGCGAATATTTCATAGCTAGATTCGTATGAATTTCGAAGGACATATTGTGACTTCTAAAAATAATCTTAAAGCGGTTCGGAATAAGATTTCCATGATTTTAACAGACTGCTACTTCAGGTAAAGTGATGTCTTTGTCGTGGGATCCAAAAGGGCCCCGTTTTGCTGTAATTCAAGGAGAACAAGGTCGAACAGATGTGTCCTTCTTTAAAATCGGAGAGAAGATCCTTCCAATCGGCAAAACTCTCCAAAACAAGAAATGTAATTGCATCAAGTGGAGTCCTCTAGGTAAGCAATCAACCCAATCAATCACATTCAATTTATGAAACTATAAGATTTCTCCCTATAAAAGTATAAGTTCTCAACTCATCGTAATTGTAACTTGCATACTTATATATACAGAATTTATTTTCTCATGACTCATGAGTTATGAAAGTACTGCATTCTGTATTGACCCCTTTTCCACAGGACAATATTGTGTGTTAGCCGGTCTAAACAACATTTCGTTTGACGGAGTTCTAGAATTCTGGGATATCGGTGGAGACGCACCTACTCTCATGAACGAAGCTAGTCACTTTATGGTAACGAACATTACATGGGACCCAACTGGGCGGTACGTGTGCAGTTCCAACACTTACGGTGGACACTCCGTTGAGAATGGGTACAACATGTGGAACTTCCAGGGTCAGTATCTCATATATGCTCATAATTTACATTTTACACCCACTTTTCCAAATTGTACACCTTACTTTTTAGGTATACTCAAAATTGTCCTTGAAAATACCCTTGATGTTTTATTTTACAGTTCATTGCAGCCCATTTAAGTGTTTTTTTAATCAGTAGATCCTGATGGATATTAACTAATTTTGTGGAGGTAATTATAAAAAGACAACTCCAGGTTCTAAAGTATTCGAGGCCAGTTTGGAAGGTTTTATTCAGTTCCAGTGGCGACCGAGACCACCTTCTCTTCTCAAAGAAATCCACACCAAAGAAATCAAGAAGAACATGAAATCCTATACTCGAGACTTCGAGATCAAGGATAAATTGTCACAATCGAAGGCTTCTAAGGTACAGTTCATCTTACGTGTATTCAGAGACATGGAGTTGTCACCATTTCTTTGCTCAAATTTGCGGCAAAAGCAAAAGTGCTCGAAAAATACCATATAATACTCTTGCTGTGGTCTTCTTAGATCTAGACATCTCGTTTTAAATTTGTCATCGATCAACATAATAAGAAAAGAGTACAAACATATCTCTTATAATAGGGGGGATTATTTACATATTACGTAAGCCAGATTTTGGCCATTTCCGCATCCCACCTCCCCATCTGGCTTTCAAAACCCCTATTATAGTATTTTATTGACTTTTACCCTAAAACTTAATCTCTTTCTACAGGAACTGATCGAGAAGAGGAGAGCAGTGTATGACGAGTTCATGACCTACAGACGAAAGAAGGAGAAGGATTTAGAGGTCCTTAAACTGCAATACAGCGAACTACGCACAGGTAAATTAAACCTTTATTGCTATTCTAGATTCTTTAACATTTTACAACAAGTTTTATCAGACACCCGAGACAAAAATAGGCGCTGAGTGCCTGATTAGGTATACCCAGATTCCACTTATAGATTTTATCTCAGAATTGCCCTGAAATCGGACCCTATCTTTATCTTTTTACAGAAGTTGTCGATGAGGAATATGTTGAAGAGACTGTTGAATTCTTTATGAAAGAAGAAGTTGAACCAGCCTCGAAAGAGTAGTTCCCAAGCCGCGCCACAACTCTCGCTCCCCCCGAACTGATGTGCGTTCGGGGTCAGCAGTCGCCAGGACAACCTCCCGCGTTGTCTGGCCACGTGACGTCCTCACGTCACACGTGTTGTCACGTGCTACTCTTAACTGGTTTTCATCCTTGCTCGGTGTCAAACGGGACTGGCAAGCTCAACATTAATATTATTTACAGTAAGTGTCACAAATGCAAGGTTGAGACGGGCTTAGCTGTAGTTTTAATTTATGATTTACGGGGTAAACTTTTGAATTTTCGTTTATGGAAAGTTATCTTAGCACTTTGTGCAAGTTTCGGTTTATTTCTTAATGAAATGCTGGGTGTATGGTTTCAGAATTGTGCAACAATTAACTATTCCCAATTTAGTAATAGCGTAACAAGCGTAATACAGAAAATAATTTGCTACAAAACCTAAACGTAGTTTAACATTGTTTTAATTTAAGTATCGTTTTAATATGGATTTAAATCTGATTTTTGTAAGTACATAATTACACAATGAAGTAGAAGGTTTTTATTTTAATCAGATTAATATGATTTTTCTGATTTTCGCCCTTCACAACGGGAGTTTTACCTTAGATGTCTAGATGGGATCTCTTTTACTTAGTTCCAGAATATTTAATAGCATCGATGATTTTATAGCTCTGGTTTCGTAACAATTTATTTTCTGTACTACTTTTGCTACGTTATCAAAAGATTGGGCGGACGTTTTTCTACACATTTCTGGATCTTTTGACATGCTCAATGGATGCTTTAGTAACGAAACATTTGACGGTTATATCTCTCAAGTATCTTGTTTTATTTTTAAGGTTGTTTCTGGGAAATGGGTAAATCTTATCCGCTCCAAAAATCCAGATAAATTGCGAGACTATATTTAGCCTTCACGTAGCGTATACAGCTAGAGTAAGTAATTTAAACAAGAGCGCGCGGCGTTCAAATACGCTGGCACTTAAAATGCTCACAATAAACTTTTCCTACAATTTTATCGATGCCCCCTGCGTATAAATAACCATCTCATACACCCATTGTACGTGGAGGGGTGTGACTTCAACGTCATATCCTAATTATGATTAAATGGCCTGGAGACAGCATTCATTTGCTCATGACGACTAATAACTGCCGGCGAATGTCATGTTTGACTGTAATCAACCTATTCAAGCATGTTGCTGTTGTTTTTAATTTTAGACGTAATACTTGTTTAATATAGATGAAGCTCCTGTTAACTGTTTAGAGTTTCCCAATAAATATTGGTGTAAACAAGCCTGCCACCTCTATTAAGTGTATGTTATACCATTGTTTTATAAGTGCTGCTAAACCTTGCAATTACAATTACGAAGGGTGTGGCTAAGTATAACGATGAATTGCATATGTTAACGGGTGGGGCTTAGGAGCTTAAACTTTCCTGTCACAGTTTTAAATTCTCCTATGAACATCTATTGGATAAATTAGCATGTCCCCACAGGAAATATTGTAAAAAATCTACAATAATAATATTGAAGTCTTACGAATTGGTCTCCACGCGAAGAGAAACTTTGTTACACTGATTGTATTTGACAAAATGTTAGCCAACTATGTTTGCTTCGTTTCTGGGTTATTTATTCACATGAGTGTGAGGATTTTTTGTATACAAGGAATTCTCATTAATTTATTATAAAAATACTTGATGCCAAACTCATTCCGAATCAATTGATGATAAATTTAAATATGCCCAAAATTTTATGTATGAACTAAAACTTACAAGCATGTAGCTTGACAAGCATTACAGCACATGACTTTTTATTCCGAGTACATATGAAAAGGTGCTAAAAGGAAATCCCGCATGGCTTAACACGTTTCATTCTGCAAAGAAAATTTGATTTTATGATTCTCAACGGAGACAGAATCAGCTTGGTAACTTGGTAAGATGAGAAATAAGACACCGTCTCTTACAATCGCTTTTGGATTCTTTAATAAAAATCCAATCGAATTAGAATTCATCTCTTATTTTTTATATTGATAAAATCAATACATAACATTATACACCCTGCAATTTACATCAGTGAAATTCAAATATCAATCTACACAAATTTCTACAGTTAACCAAGCGCACACAGAAAACTTAATCATGTGCTGACTTACATAATTAACAGGAGCGGATGTTTTTAATGTTAATCGCTCAATTAATTAAGTGTGGTTTTACCAGAAATGTTAGCATCCTTTGAACTAAACATTAAAATTGATAAAATGAATGAAACATCTACTTTCCTAAAAAGAACGACTTAGCATGAACGCGAAGAGCCACCTCTTTCTGCTGTTAATTAAATTAAACAACCCAATCTTAAGTTAAAATAAACATGAGCGATTAAAACAGGACGATAACCCTTGTCTCAGTTCACTACTCGCCAGCTAGTCTAATGGCTTAAATGAAATTCAAAATCTTTAAAATCTATTCTAGTTCAAATAGATTTTTAAAAGATTTGATAGTCAAATATGAAAAATTGCTACCTTTTCTATGAATTGAAAGGAGGAATGAACTTTTGGACTGTTGTTTTTCGAAACAAGCAGTATTTCCTTCCTTCCTGCCTACTTAATAACAGTAGCTGATAAATTATTTTATGGAAACAGAACATAATATACAAAGTATTCAGCCGTCCCCTACGGATCACAATTCACAATATTAAATTATTTGTGAAATTACAAAAATTCCATCTCCACATCTGTAAACCATTATACATTCATGTTACAATAAGTTAAAAACTCTAAAATATGTTAAAACCTAACAACGGAAATTAGTATTCAGGGACAGACAAAAACTTAATTTCGGCAAATTTTGAGTAATTTGTTTCGCCAGTGTGAACTGTAAATTAAATAATGAGGTGACATTGTGATTAAAACTCGATTACTGAATTGTGCAATCAGCTTCACATGAGCAGAAATTATTTTATGTCTGAAATATCCTAAACAAGCCCAAGCATGAACATGGAACATTGTCCCTGACAGTTGAAATATGATAAAAACCGACAATGTCATACTCAAATATACTAATATAATTTACAATTCCCCAAAAAACCGTGTTAATATAAGTTACAACTCTCAATAATATGATGTAACTAATAAATTAAATTCGAAGTAGTGGTGTTTACTTGAGCATGAGAGCATGAGGTCGTTCACGTATTACGAAATCGCTTTTTGAAAAAATTTTACCTCCCCCTGGCCCTCCGTAATCGTTGATCAGTTTTACACATAGCTATTGTGTCCAAATTACACTAGCGAAACCCCCCTCCCCCTCGGCTGATTGCGTAATATGTGAACGAATAGTGTTCAGTACAGTAGGGAGCAGCACTTTGTCTGTCGAGAGCCGTGATGCTCCCTACTGAACACAACAAAGAAGCGAATAACAAATAAACCAGGAAAATACGTTCATGCTCGCACTTTGCACAGCCCAAAAGTCATGCCCAATGCCCATGCATCCGTGCATCGCCACCCCCACGCTAATATTTAAACCAGCACAATATTCAAGCTATAAAACTACCATTAAAATCAGAATCCCGACGATTCAAAGTATTTAAGTTATTATTGTTAATAAACGAACTGGTATGAGTTTTAGTTTCAAAAACTGGCACTTTGAGTTTGGGGTGGATACCATTAGAAGGGTGTATCTGACCATTTGACGGAGAATGAGGGTAGGTCTGCTTAACTGATATTGGTAGCTTGAGTTTCTCCATCTTGTTTTCATCGTATTTTATCTGAAATGAGAGCTTAGATTAACTAACTTTATATTTAATGAATTTATTTTGACAGTATATCGAACACAACATAAACAAATCACTAATATATTTTGACTTTATCAATGAGGACGAACTTAAAAACAACTGAATGATTTTTAACTAGGCTCATAGTAAAGAACATGACGTATAATGTATATATTGTGTATGTTTTAATAAATGATAACTAGCCTTGTAGCTAGCCTTGTTATAAAGAACACCTAGATAACAACTAACCTTGTTATAAAGAGCGACTCCTCCGATGGAGGCCCCCATTCCAAGCATGTTTGTTGACGTTACTGGATTCCTCAGTATTGCCAGAGACATGGCTATAGTGAATACCCTCTTCATACAATTAGCAACCGAGTAACTGCAGGAGTCAACTTATTAGTATCAGTTAATAAGCCATTACTAATGTAATGTAATTATGACATTAGATACTGTTTTAGATAATTTCACGTTAAACACTATAAATACGTTGCAGTTCACCTCAGTATTACATGACTCGCCAAGACCGTACAATTTATTACCATGGCCGTTTGAATCATTCCGTTGCTAATTGGAGAACTAAATTACGTTATCCAAAAATACACACTAATTTTCTTTTCGTCTAATTAATTAAATAGCTGTCTCGAAAGTAAAAGTTATGTATTATAAAATGTATAGTTTATATTACACTATACATGAGGTTCGCTTTTTGCAGTTAAACTAACGGCTAATTATGAGAATAATTAAGATTCCTGCCAGAAAATATTCATATCATCTCACGTCATAGTAATGTGACCTTTGAACTGTACTCAACAAATCGGCTGGTATCATTTATTGTGCAAATCCCATGGCCGTTCAGTTGAGGGTGCTCGATTCTAGAGCGTGTGGAAGATTTCATAATTATAAGGCCAAGGATCATTCTTTAATAAATTGATCACGATTGGCTAACTCTTGAAACTTTTTTGTCAAATGAGTCTAGACCTTCAGAATAACCAAATATGGTCAAATCTTGGGCTCTATTCAGAAGCTTTCAATGCCAAGGACCGTGATTTTGGGATAATAACTTTCTGAAAACCTGAATTCTGAGTTCTGAGTAATGTCGAGATTTTCGGGGGAAATATCTTATAATGCAATTTCACAAAAACCAAAATATATTGAAGCCTTTACGGTCAGCTTGTGGTTGGTTTACGATCAGTGTTGTACCAATGCATTAATTTCACGGAGGACGTCAGGATATAATATAGTATATACATTTAGCCATATTCTTACAGAAAATACTCCTTTCTAGTCTAGACACTGCGATCCAAAATCGTGTTTTCTAATGTGGCAGTGGTCAAGATGACCTGATCTGCCTTCAGTAAGATATCAAGAGTAACAGGCGTAATAAGGCGTATGTAATTTATATTTGTCATTTATATTTATAATTGATTAACTGAATACTGATTTGATCAGTCGATTGAAATTGCATTACTGTGGAGCGTGCCTCGTGAACTGCCGAGTCTGCAAATAGATCTCTCGTTGTATCTGAGGCAAGCTAGTGATCGACCGGTGGCAAAATTATCAATCGTTTTAACTAGATCTTATCATGAATTCTTAATCAAAAATTCCCAGCTAAATAACCAAGATTTTAGGCGGGGATCATGACCATGTTTAGCTGGGTGCCAAGTTCAGCTGGGCCCCGGTCGATCACTGAGCAAATCACAGATCTATATTGTGGAGTACAAATCACTCCATTATCTGATGCTTTATAATAGATTCGAAGTGACTACAGATTAAAGATTTTGGTCACAAAATTTTCAATTAGCGTGCATTAGCAGATCTTTTATATGATCTGCTACACGTATTTATTTACCTAGAAACCTAGATAATGTATTATTGATTATGGAAGCAATAGTTCTATCAGAATTTGAATAAATAGACTCCGGAAAGTACTTTCAAGGCTCGAGTCAATGCTTAAAAACCCAAAACCAAAACTCTGATCTTTAAAAATGAGAATTCTAATACCAAAACTAAGAAAAACTAATGCAATAACTAAATGTATAACACAAATACTAAAACTGACCTGACAGGATTTACAAGGCTGAGGAAGCTGAAAGCGGCCACGTTTTGTGACCAATTAAATATGGAAACTGCGAGCATGTAGGGGAATATCTCCGATACTGGGTCCTTTAGTGCACTCTGGGGAGTGGGGGAATGTTAACTGTTATATTACATGAATATATATAATATTAGTTCACCTGATCACACGTAATGAATAAACTCGTTATGCTTCATATCTCGGTCATCTGAGAAGCTACAGTTCTAATTCTTTTAGGACAAACGTAATTCGAATGGCCAAACACAATTCAATAACATTTAGCTTGATCCGACTATCCAAACTATCAAATAAATGTGAAAATGAACCTCCATTTGAAAAAATGAACGCGAATATTTTTCGAGTTGACAAATTCCTCGAACCAGTGGTGGTACTAAGTCATACCAGAAAGAAGTATTTAAATTGGGCACTCAGTGACTGAGCTATAAAGGCCAACGTATGGGTACTGACTTTTGGCCCACCCTGTATATTTAGTGTTGGCATAAAAATGTATATATATATATTATGTTATATCGATAAGAATATTTAATATGAAATTAAATGATGTACTCTCGAAAATTTTATCTCCTAATGATAATTTATTCGCTGGAAATTGGAAGAACGCAGATAAAAAGTCTGGTCTAAATAAATAAAAAATAAAAAACCGGACTCACATAATCAAAATTAAGAAGTCTGGAAGCATCGTGAAACAGCCAGAGCGGTAGACACAGGAACAGACTGGACAGAGAAACGAAGTATAACATCTTCAAGTGATGGAGGTTGTTATCTACCATCGCCTGCGAAAGGGGCTATTAATTAATTGACTGTTCAAAGTGCTTAAATTATCAATTATTTAGTCGGCATTGAACAAATTCTTTGCTTTTAACGGCTCGACTCACGTCCGAATCTATATCCTAATTTTATCATGGGAAATATCTGAGTATGCTTGTGTAAGAGCCGGCACGATCTAGTGACAGAATATCTAGATACCGTAGCACTGGTTTAGATATTGTAATTACCATCACTGGCCACACCCATATTGACGCCATCAGGCATGTAACTTTGAACTTATTACAACACTACAAATCTATTATATCTATTGAGGGAGGGACCTTCGACATTGTCCATCAAACAATAAGGATCACTTGGTAAGCTCTGTAATGGAGGCTGATATAAAAGATATATAACGTGGCAAAATAATAACTGAGTTACAAATTAAATTAAATTAGGCAATTGATTGATAAAGGTTTTGAGTTCTTTTCACATCTTCTGCTCAGCTGTTTATATAACGTCCTATGTCTGAAGTGAGGGTAGTAATGTGAGGGTACTGAAGTGAGGGTAGCAATGTGAGGGTAGCAATGTGAGGGTAGCAATGTGAGGGTACTGAAGTGAGGGTAACAATGTGAGGGTACTGAAGTGAGGGTAGCAATGTGAGGGTAGCAATGTGAGGGTAGCAATGTGAGGGTACTGAAGTGAGGGTAACAATGTGAGGGTACTGAAGTGAGGGTAGCAATGTGAGGGTAGCAATGTGAGGGTACTGAAGTGAGGGTACTGAAGTGAGGGTACTGAAGTGAGGGTAACAATGTGAGGGTACTGAAGTGAGGGTAGCAATGTGAGGGTACTGAAGTGAGGGTACTGAAGTGAGGGTAACAATGTGAGGGTACTGAAGTGAGGGTACTGAAGTGAGGGTACTGAATTGAGGGTAACAATGTGAGGGTACTGAAGTGAGGGTAGCAATGTGAGGGTACTGAAGTGAGGGTACTGAAGTGAGGGTAACAATGTGAGGGTACTGAAGTGAGGGTACTGAAGTGAGGGTACTGAAGTGAGGGTAACAATGTGAGGGTACTGAAGTGAGGGTACTGAAGTGAGGGTACTGAAGTGAGGGTAACAATGTGAGGGTAGCAATGTGAGGGTAGCAATGTGAGGGTACTGAAGTGAGGGTAACAATGTGAGGGTACTGAAGTGAGGGTAGCAATGTGAGGGTAGCAATGTGAGGGTAGCAATGTGAGGGTACTGAAGTGAGGGTAACAATGTGAGGGTACTGAAGTGAGGGTAGCAATGTGAGGGTAGCAATGTGAGGGTAGCAATGTGAGGGTACTGAAGTGAGGGTAACAATGTGAGGGTACTGAAGTGAGGGTAGCAATGTGAGGGTAGCAATGTGAGGGTAGCAATGTGAGGGTACTGAAGTGAGGGTAACAATGTGAGGGTACTGAAGTGAGGGTAGCAATGTGAGGGTAGCAATGTGAGGGTACTGAAGTGAGGGTACTGAAGTGAGGGTACTGAAGTGAGGGTAACAATGTGAGGGTACTGAAGTGAGGGTAGCAATGTGAGGGTACTGAAGTGAGGGTACTGAAGTGAGGGTAACAATGTGAGGGTACTGAAGTGAGGGTACTGAAGTGAGGGTACTGAAGTGAGGGTAACAATGTGAGGGTACTGAAGTGAGGATAGCAATGTGAGGGTACTGAAGTGAGGGTACTGAAGTGAGGGTAACAATGTGAGGGTACTGAAGTGAGGGTACTGAAGTGAGGGTACTGAAGTGAGGGTAACAATGTGAGGGTACTGAAGTGAGGGTACTGAAGTGAGGGTACTGAAGTGAGGGTAACAATGTGAGGGTACTGAAGTGAGGGTAGCAATGTGAGGGTACTGAAGTGAGGGTACTGAAGTGAGGGTAACAATGTGAGGGTACTGAAGTGAGGGTAGCAATGTGAGGGTACTGAAGTGAGGGTACTGAAGTGAGGGTAACAATGTGAGGGTACTGAAGTGAGGGTACTGAAGTGAGGGTACTGAAGTGAGGGTAACAATGTGAGGGTACTGAAGTGAGGGTACTGAAGTGAGGGTACTGAAGTGAGGGTAACAATGTGAAGGTACTGAAGTGAGGATAGCAATGTGAGGGTACTGAAGTGAGGGTACTGAAGTGAGGGTAGCAATGTGAGGGTACTGAAGTGAGGGTACTGAAGTGAGGGTACTGAAGTGAGGGTAACAATGTGAGGGTACTGAAGTGAGGGTACTGAAGTGAGGGTACTGAAGTGAGGGTACTGAAGTGAGGGTAACAATGTGAGGGTACTGAAGTGAGGGTAGCAATGTGAGGGTACTGAAGTGAGGGTAGCAATGTGAGGGTACTGAAGTGAGGGTACTGAAGTGAGGGTAGCAATGTGAGGGTACTGAAGTGAGGGTACTGAAGTGAGGGTAACAATGGTAATTCTCTGGAATAGTAGTGACCGGGATTCATCAAATATACAGTTATTTTCACTCTACACTTGATATCTAACACTTAATTAACTCTGGCAACAGAAAACATCAGCTCCTGAGACTGCTGAGGAGAACATGTAATCAGAAACCCAGTCGTTATTCCTGCGTGCCGGAGATATATTAGCTGTGTTGGCACTCGTCTCAGCGGAGTAAGTGTTACTGGTATGTGACTTATTTTTTATTTCATTTTAGGAAGTCCTGGAGTGTAGCTAGCAGGAGTTGCACTATGAGGGCACGGTGAGAAGGCTTCCTACTTACCGCAGGAGGCCACTGGCCAGCATCCGTCGACCTTAACAGAGAGAGAGAGAGAGAGAGAGAGAGAGAGAGAGAGAGAGAGAGAGAGAGAGAGAGAGAGAGAGAGAGAGAGAGAGAGAGAGAGAGAGAGATAGAGAGAGAAAGAGAGAGAGAAAGAGAGATAGAGAGATAGAGAGATAGAGAGATAGAGAGAGAAAGAGAGAGAGAGATATGTGACTTATTTGTAGCGTGAAGTTTAAAAAAGTGCACTACATCCAGAAACCAAGTGTCCAATAGCCTTCACTGCCAGTAACACTCTCTAGCGCTTTGGCTGCTAAAATTCAAATTCCTGTACTCAACTCTCTTACTGATGACAACCGGATGGCAAGTGGCCAAAAACTAAGGAGCTATACGTATTAAAGTTCATGAGTTTGAGGCTTATCCCATGCACAGTGTTTTTAGGCCCCAAAGGTTTTACTCTATTACGGGTAAACCTAGGATGCTGCAGATTCAACTCTGTACATTCAGACCGTCTGTGCGTGGTGAAGAGCCACATCCTGCTCGAGGTGGGGCTGCATGCAACTTCAGTGATGGAGTTGTAACTGAACACAGCGGATCTAGGGGTGCACCCCCGAAAAACAAGCCGGGCATCCTCAGAACAAGCCCGTGATGATGGTGATGTGGGTTAATCTAGATGTAACAGATTCCGGAACTATGGGAGCACCATCTGTCATCTTACCGTTTTATTTACTGTACGTGGGAACATCTACTGATGAAGTAGCTATCAAGGGAGCCATTCCAGTGGCGCAGGTGGCTCACGTGTCACATAGCCAACAGAAAAGAAACATGATGAATAGTTCTTACAGCACTAGGGTATCAGCCCCTACTTTTGTTTCTGGACGAGAAGGTGGTAATGATTTCACCAACTTAAATCCGAATGGAAGGTTGGTGAATGATGAGCCTAATCAACCTGAAACACCCAACAGCATAAACGAAAACAACAAAAAAAGTTTATTTTCATGTACCGACATTACCTGGGTAGGCACTCTTAACACTAGAACGATAAGAACTACCCAGAGGAAACTGGAGATGGTACATCTTTTCGAGAAGAGTGGCGCAGAGATTGTAGGTATCCAAGAGCACAGGATAGTTCATGAAGAGCCTGTCAGAGTAGAGAGAGTTGGCAAAAGCAGCTATCTAATTACTTCATCAGCTACTAGGAATAGGGCCCAGGCATCAGTGGGCGGAGTGGGATTCATCCTAACAAGCAAGGCATTTGACGCAACTACGGAGATAACACCAGTGACGGAGAGAATCCTTAAGATATCTCTCAATTGGAATCCTAAACCAACCTTCGTCTGTGTCTATGGACCTACGGAGGCAGATAGTGTAGAAGCAGCAGAAAAGTTTCATAACGATCTAAGGTGTGCAGTCTCGCAGATCCCTGCTCACAACTTCTTGGAGGTGATTGGGGATTTTAACGCTCACCTATCAAAGAGGGACGAGAATGACTGTGGTTGGTATTTCCATGAGAGAACCAACAGAAATGGGGAGCTGCTTCGGGATACTGCCCTGGAATGTAATCTGGAGATTACAAACACCAGGTTCAGAAAGAAGCGGGGTAAGATGTGGACTCACCTATCGGATGGAACCCTGAATAAGTCTCAGATAGACTTTATTCTAGTGAGGAAGAAGTGGAGGAACAGTATCAAAGACACTGAAGTCTACAGTTTCTTTAGTACATTGGGTACTGATCATAGATTTGTTTTGTCTAAGATCAAGCTATCTCTTCGACGAGCAAAAAAGCAACCCAAGAAAACCTGGTATAATTGGGGAGCACTAAAATCGGATGAAGACCTACAGAAGAGATATGCAGTAGAAGTCAAGAATCGGTACTCTGCTTTATGCGAGCAAACCGATGAAAGTGAGGTTACGGAACTGTATGGGCATTTTGTTGATGCGATTGCTGATACCAACAAAGCCATACTGCCTAAGAGAGAAAAGAAGAGACGTGACGATTTCGCGGGTGATCAGCGAGTTCAAAACGTGCGTACAGCGTTGCAGCAAGCAGAGACTGTCTATCACCGGGATCCTAGTAAAGACAGTCGACTGTCTGTTAACGTACTTAAAACTGAACTGGATCAGGTGTACCAGGACATCTTTGAAGAAGATCTAGTTGCCAAGGTTAAAAGGGTCGAAATGGCTGCAGACAGATGCAAAAATAAAGAAAGTTGGAATGTCATAAATGAGATTACTGGTAGGAAGGCCAAGGGGGCAACTCAAATAAGGGGCAACGGAGCCGAAGAGAGGAAGGAAAATTGGCTTAGGCATTTCACGAATCTGTTAGGGAGTACACCTGATGTGGAAAACGAACATCCTAGGATCGAGACTCAATTTGAAGGACTCAACATCAGTACAGAACCTTTTACTCTAGAGGAGCTCAAAGCTGCTAAACTCAGGATTAAAGAAGGTAAAGCACCAGGTGATGACGGTATACCACCTGAAGTCCTCAAAAGATGCGACCTGGATGAAATCGTGTTGTCCTTCTGCAACAAAGCCCTGACAGATGGTATTGCGCCAGATCAGTGGAGGATAAGCAACATCATTCCGGTCCCCAAAAAGGGAGACTTGACAAACCCTGGAAACTGGAGGGGGATATCTTTGACTTCACTTGTAGCAAAGACTCTTAATAGAATGGTGCTTAATAGGATCCAGCTGGCTATAGAAGGGGTACTTAGGGACACTCAGAATGGTTTTCGGGAAGGACGGTCCACTACTAGTCATATCTTGGCACTCAGAAGGATACTAGAGGGGGCTAGACAGAGAAATCTACCGGCAGCTATGGTGTTTGTTGATTTTAAGAAGGCCTTTGATTCACTTCACCGGGGAATTTTGATGCAAATACTAAAGGCCTATGGGATACCAGACAGTATTGTGGATATCATTAATCTACTCTATGTAAACACAAAGGGCAAAGTTATTACACCTGATGGGGATACTGAGCTATTTGATATCCTGGCAGGAGTTCTTCAAGGGGATACTTTAGCACCATACTTGTTTATTATAGCCCTTGACTATTGCATGAGACAAGCCTTAAGCAAGCACCCTGAAATAGGATTTACCATTAAGCCTTATAGGAGTAGGAGAGTTAAGGCGGAGAAGATATCAGACACTGGTTTTGCAGATGACATTGCTCTGATAGCAGATACTGTAAAGGAGGCAGAGACGCTGATGCTAGAGGTAGAAAGGGTTGCTGCTACAGTTGGACTTAGAATGAATGAAGGGAAAACCAAATTCATTACTCAGAACATCGAGAACCCTGATACCATCAAGTCCCTGGGTAACAGTACAATAGAGCATGTGGAAGACTTCACTTATCTGGGTTCTAGAATCAGAGACAGTGAGAGTGATATCAGGGTTAGGAAAGGAAGAGCATGGGGAGCATGCCACACACTCAAAAAACTTTGGAATTCTAAGCTTAGAAAGTCTATCAAGATCAGAGTGTTTACAGCACTAGTGGAGTCGGTGCTACTGTACGGTTCCGAGACTTGGACAATGACGAAAAGGCTAGAGAAGATGGTTGATGGTTGCTATACGCGAATGTTAAGAATGGCCCTTAACATCAACCAATATCGAGACCATGTCAGCAACCACAGCCTGTACGGTGATCTTCCCAAAGTCAGCTCCAAGATAACCCAACGAAGGCTCAGACTTGCAGGTCATGCTCACCGACATCCGGAGCTGACACTGAACAAACTGATCCTCTGGAAGCCAAGTCATGGGCATACTAACAGGGGGCGACCTCATTTAACACTACTAGATAACCTAAAAGCAGATACTGGGCTGAAGTCAGTAGATGAGATAGCTAGACTGATGGAGGACAGAAAGCTGTGGAGAACTGTTGTCCATGGATCTCGGGAATACCACCCGCCTTAAGTCAGTCAAGTCAGTAAGTCAGTGTTTTTCTTAGCTATAATAAGTTAAAGGATTTCACTATTTTAAATAATAACAAGTATTGCGCCCGTTGTTTCGTTTTGGCGGACGCTAGATTTCCATTCACTATAACCTTAATAATATTAATAGTTAATAGTTAACAGTACTTTATTTACAGTATGTACCGTCTTCAGACGGTAAATAGTCGACGTTTTAATATATAATACATATATTATATATAATATAATTTACAATATATGCAACCTAACTTACTGTATTGTATAGTAATATAGTATGTTAAACTACTATTCCGATCCGGATAATATTACGTTATTATTTAATTTGATAAAAGCGTCTAGACTAAATTTTAATGCAGTTTAAAACGTCTCACATATTGCGCCTAACAATAAATGTAACCGATTTTTAGTGATACTTGCTGGTCAGCACGTCACAGCTGATACACTGTCACGCGAATATGCAGTCTGTAAAGTATGTGGACTATGTGAAATATGTGTAAAGTATTTAGACTTACGTATAATGTGGCTCACTCAAACTGATATACTGTACTCAGTACTGGTACCCTCGTAAATTGTCATACAATAACGGAACTAACTAACTACCATTGCCACACATCTGCATACACGTCATCAATAGTTAACGCGGTTTTTTGGCACACCCTGTATGTTGATAACTGGTGCTATTTTTAGACTATTTAGTGGTTGTATACTTTCAACGTTACTATAATATTATAACAAAATATTGGAGCAAGCTTTTTGTTGGCAAAGAAAGGATTTTGTAAATTTTCAAGATATAATTATGCTTCATTTCATCAGACCTAATATGTCTCACGTTAAATGGCATACGTAATGAGGTTACTGTATACTAGAAATTAGGATGTACGTGTAAATTGTAAGGCTGTGTCTGTGCTTTATTATTACCACACTTCCTCATAATATATTGATGTGATACACAATACAAACATTAACATTTAACACGTACAGTTTGACGGCAATTCCTCAATCGTGTTCAGAGACTATAATATATTATATCCTAGAAATGATAGTTTCCTAATCAAATCCAAGTTAAAGTAAACGTTAAAGTGAATTAAAAAGCTGGTGCAGGCAATCATAAAGCTGACCAACAGTATGAGTTAAATTCGTCCTGGTTGGTAACTGGTGCTATTTTTATACAGTGCTGGGCAACACAGCTACACTTGTGTAATGTGTATAACTTCTAACATGATATATAATGTACAGATACAATGATGGGGAATAACTATCACAACACCTTTCAACTATGTCAAATTGAGTAAACTTTGAATCTGAGGAATACTAACAAATTGTACATTACATCATACCATTTACCATTATAATACATGATATTTCTTTAAACGTCTACAAATACAGAAAAAAAATGTAAGACCATCTAAATATTTTGTACTAGAAATAAAAATATTCGGATGGCGATGTGCAATGTTTCCTAAATACACGTTCCTAGTGAGGGTCACCTGTGTGTAATGTGTTTTCATTTTACTGTTATTTCAATGCGGTATAAGTCCACGTTATCTATACTTTAAAACACAGTACGGTAATGTATGCAGCAATAATGACAGTGCGGTAATAATTAGACACGTCTTACAACTAACAATTTAGTGCTGGGGTTTTTTAAGTATTTTCAAAGTGATGATATTTTTGGTGTAGCCGTGATACGAGTCACAGAATGTGGTTTTTTAATATATTCGGAAGGCTGATGTCATCGTTGTTACTGTTTCGTTTAACAAGTCCAAACTTCCAAGGGACTGGAGTAATTTTGAGAAAAACACCACCTTGGATTGTAGTTGAATTTAAAATCATCCAGGAAAAAGGGCTGGTCATAAAAAATGTACTAAAAACATATTGCGAAATATATATACCGCAAACTTACTTTTTTAGCGTAAACACTAAGTAGGGCAGTGGACATGGTGGAGAGCAGCGCACAGACCAGTCCTGACAAATCAAACAACACCTCTGTAAAGGAGGATATCACCACTCCACTTATTATCATCAACAGGGAGAAATATATCTGAAATTATAAGTGAGAGCTTGGAAATAGGATAATTAGCGTTTGTGTTCTCACAAAAAAATACCAATTTAGTGGCATTTTTGATGATGTAACTCTAGACTTTAATTACACTTTAAAAAACTTATGTTAACTGTGTAGTGTGTACTGTGTATTATGAAGCCAAAATAACGCCTAAATAGTAAATATTGGTATCTGTAACAACCTTCATTACCATACTCCTGTAGCACACTGTAGATATTAGCCACGGGTACAGTCCACCACGTGGATATTTAAACACATTTTAATGGAACTATAAATAGACAATAACGACCTTGTTTCGCCTAAACTCCCTGCACATTTACCATCATCCACCTTGTTAAATGGCACTTCATCACACCTTGTCAAAGTTCTCTGTCTGTTATTACCTAATTTGCCTTGTTGCATTTAGCCCCACCCCTCATTATAGCTAGTCATTACTCAGCAACTGTAACAACGTATTTTGAAGACATATTAAATTTTGGAAAAGTAAAGTTAAAACTTACTGCGACCGAATGTCTTTGTCCTAACATTACTCTTGAAAACAGTACAGAGAATATCGGTAATGAGGCCTGTGGATTGTGAATGATGATCTTAGGTTATTTGTAAAAATAATTATAATGTACAATGTACATGCTATATTATTATATGAATAACGTTTCCCAACTTGGGCCTTTGTGAATTCAAAATTTAAACTCACAATTACAACAAATAATTACAGATCCAGTGAAAGACTGAGTAAATCTGCCAATCGTTCTATTATTCTATAATCGTTCTATTATTCTATAATACCTTTATTGTATTAGAGTAAGATACTGGAACGTTTCCTATGCTAACTGTCGCGAAAAATACAGCAGACACTTTTCCAAATGAGAGGGGTAAAATTCCCGTTATAAATAAACCTGAAATTGATGTTTGAGATGATGATAAAATAATTAAATTATCCTGAAACAGAAATGGACAAAAATCGTATTACCAATTATTGTGATGCTAACAATCAAACTTTTCTCAGTTTACAAATATTTCAGGATTACCACAAATCAAAATCGTCATTTACCTTTAGATAGAATAAAAGCTCCACGAACATTCATATATTTCAATAGAGGGAACGTTAGAAGAGCACAGCCCAGAAATTGTACAACAGTAAGGGTGAGCGGAAATGGAAAGACTGTCAGGCATCTGAAAATTGAGGATGACGACTAAAGATAAAGTTTTAAATAGACGAATGAAATGAAACATAATTAGATAAGCATAGAACAAAATAAATCTTCATTGACATTAATATAAGTAAAACTAGACCCAAAAGTAATACTTACTTTTTAAGAGCGATGTTACTGAAAGCAGAAGAGCAGTACCAAAAGCCACAAATCAATAACAATTTGATTATTAAATAATAAGGTGATTTAGGTTCTAGCTTTGTTTTAGTAGATTCTGATGCAAGGTTTTGCAAATTGAACGATGACGGCGAAGGAGTTATGCTCATCCTAAGAGAAAATGTCATTAGTATACAATAAATGAAATGTTCTTCTAAAGCAGTTCCTGATTCTCATATCAAATTACAAAAACAGCTAAAAAGTTACTCACTAGAGGAAGGGGGGGGGGGGGGGGGTGGGGGGGTAGGGGGGGTCGACCACCCCCCATCTGAGCAGCAGAAATGTAACGTGAATTTTGGCAAACATTTTTGTTTCAAATCAATTTCATTAACAATAAAACTTTACTAATTTCCTTAATATTAGTACTTCGGTGAACTGAACTCTATTGACCAACTGTTTAAATCAGTTGCATACTAATTTTCCTTGTCAGCATTTCTATACGAAAAACTTACTAATCGTACTGATCAACTCTCAAAGTCAAGGTGTATTCAAAACGTAAGAAATCGAAAATAAGTTCAAAGTTTAGTAATAAATAGGAAATGATATGGTTTATTAAGCATAGCTGTGGTCAGTTTACTATCGCCCTTATCAGATACAAATTTCAAGTGTGGCAGTGCAATTGTTTCATATTCTAGCTGAAACTTGGCTCTCCTTCAAAGTTTTATCCATGTTGGTTTTGTACCCAATTTTGGGTAAATTTCTATTGATCCCGTTTGATGCGACAAGGAAAAGGCTCTTATCAGGAAAGGAATTATTCAACGTTTTAATTTATCAACATCATATTCATGATCTAAAAATATTTCTAACCAAAATTCAAAACGTAAAAAAATAAATCTGAGGCAAAATTATTGTGCAACAACTAATTATATCCATTCCATTGGTCTCGATGTGATGAGAAAAGAAAATTTTTTGAGAAAATACAACTTTATTATTTATATGATTCTTGGGAAGGCTACTATTATAAAATTTAAAGCAGCTAATAATTTAATTAATTATTAACCGTCCCTTCAAGTGGGGAACAGTATACTCTTAACACTCCTATGTCTATGTATGAAGAGTATTCTCGTTCTTCCAGGAAACCAATGATGTTTATTATCAATAAACCGGATCCCCCAGACAACCATAACACGAGGTCAACGAAAATATGGAATATAATAACCCCTAACTTTAAAATCTTTGATTATTCTGTTAGTATTTCTTGCCTGAAATCCAGACTGAAATCTTCACTACTTGCCAACCAGCATTGTCATGCCGTGTATGACTGGACATATAAAGATTTTGATATTTGTAACCTTAAAATTTCGTAGGCTCCTGCAGGGATTCCACCTGACCTCCAAAATTTCATGACCAAATCGACTTACTCTGCCAGCGTATTCCTCTGTCAAGTTAAATGTGATGTGTGAGTGAGTAAGTGTAGTGTAAAGAGATCCTAATATGCAATTATTATTTTGCTTCTAAAATTCTCTGATAATTAATAATATATCGTGACATGTAATTGTAAGATAACAAACCTCGCGCGCGCGGCGCTTACATCTGCACCTGAGAATCTCTCAGCAATGTGTGGCTGTCTGCGCGGCGGGCTGTGTATTGTGTATATAGCTGAATTTAAATTTAGATTTATTTGTAAATGTATAATAATATTAAATATGTATTGATTGTTTTGTGGTAAATAAAAATTTTGTTTTACTAAAAAATTTTGTTTTACTATCCAATTTGAATTCTAATAAAGACCCTAAGCATTATGATCAAATTTTTAGTACAATAGTTATATCAGGGTTGACATCTACATGATTAATATTATAACCCAATATTCATTTTTTTCTCCCCTAAATTTAAACCCCCGGCCCCCACTTAGACATTTAGCCATGATTTAGTATTGAACACCCAAAATACTTACCGTCCTTAATAATTGTAAGACCATTAACAAAGACCATTTGTTACAAAATAGCTGCTAGAATAGTACATGCCAAATATTCCCTCTTACACCCACAAATTATAATGCCTTCCTATCAACGCCTCTAATTTGGTCATTAATCAACCAGACTAGCGTTCTGGTGTGTTCAAAAGCTACCAGCCAGTACATTCCTTGCCCTGCTAGTTGATTGTCAAAAAACCATACAGCTCAGAACAAATGGCAATTTACCACTAAGAGCATTATATGTTTTCATTTGTTTAAACTTTATGCTGTAAAATGTGCTAAAACTTTGATTATTTGTTTAATTGATTATTTGTTTAATTGACTAGGAAAACTACTGATCTCGAAGTTTTTGTTTGTCTTAAGTAACGTTTTGTTTGCTTTTTCAATGTGGTTCTTGAAAAAAAGGCAGGAAGATTGTAGGAAATAAGTAATAAGATTTGGATTTATGAGGTGGCCAAACGTTCCAACAGTGACAGCATTAAGCTACTCTTTCACAATACTTGAAAACTGGCCACGGGCCTAAATATTACATATCAATCAATTACAATTCATTAACATTACTAATATTTAAAACTATCGAAAATATTCAAGAAAGTATTCTCTAGCCAAAGGGCTCAATATTTAAATCTAAATCTTCAATATTGTCTGGTTTATATCGCAACTTGGGCCCTCTGTCCCCCCCTTATCGAAATAACTCTTTCACAATACTCGATGATGTAACAAAATGACATGTGTTTGACAAGTGGATGAAAAAATAGATTTCCGATGTAACAATAAGTTTTGAAGCGAATCACCAATGTTTGTGTGATTTTAACAGAACAAGTCAAATAATAACCCCAAACCCGGTGTTCAAGTTCCATTGTAGCATCAGCTGATAAACCCATGGCTGATTATCTTAGTTCAGCACTGAATTACAACAAGCTAATTCAGGATTTAAAAAATAAATTCATTAAGTTTTGTTTCATTGAGAAAAAAAATGTCTTGTTTCATTGATTAAATTTACATTCAGGAAGCAAAACAGTTTACGCCATGTGGGATGCTGTTAAACATTTTAAATTAAGGGCTCGATGGTGCTGATTGTCGAGTACCAAAAGTTTGAAATTCAATAGTGAATAATGGATGCAAGTGGAACTGAGAGGAGACAAAATATATAACTGATAAGTAAGTTTTTCACAAGATACAAATATTTGTCATACTTGTCATATGTTGTATGACCCGCCGCGCACGAAGTGCGCGGCTCCCCCTGTATCGTCAGGACGACCGTGGGGATCGCAACGTGATACAATGTCATACCACATACGTTGATTGACCCGCCGCGCAAGAAGTGCGCGGCTCCCCCTGTATCGTGGGGGTCGCAACGTGATATAAACAAATATATGTCATAATATAATGTACGCATTATAAACATGAAACGAAACACTGCGTAAAATTAATTACCTGGGGACCCCAGGCTATTATGTTCATAAACATAAAAAATATAGATTCGGCGGAATGACAGGCTGAGCGCCGCCCAGTAAGAAATTAGTAAAAGATTGGTGCAGACGCCAGACATGGTTAAGTTCTGTACTACTAAAACTTGACCATTGTTAATGCCTTAATGGTCTGGCCCAGCGCGCGCTACTTCGTAGCACTTGCAATCGAGAAGAAAGCGGCGCGCGCTACTTCGAAGAAATTTAGACGAGTAACATCCGTCAAGATAAAACGCAATCATTATATTATGCGAAACCGGATGCTTACATGAGGACCCCAGACTATTATATTTATGCTCATAATCACCGAATGGTAAAACCGGATAAACGTAAACCGCCCAGTAAAACCGAGCGTGCTAAATCACTCTACAGTCGATCTTCGAGATAGTTCTAAAAGGACCCCCAACAGTTGTAATTAACTTCAATCGATGTATTTTCGAACGCTGATTCCGAATCACCCCCATTACATAAGGGTAAACTGCTCCCCTGACGAGATATTGGCGAAAAACTGTCTCGATCACGTGATATGACCGTATAAGGAAGTTAGTCTAATTTCTCGTTAGGGTTAGGGTTTCAGCACATGCTTTTGCTAAGGATGATGATGAAAATCTAAATATTATAGGCTACAATGAGCATTTTAGTAACAAATAGTATGAAAGATCTAAAATTTAAAAAATAAAAACCCTAAAAATATTTACACCCCAAGTTAAAAATATAAATACTTTATTTTTAAAAACACTATCAAATAAGGTGGTTGATCAGTCACTTGTGTCATTACGACGACGTCGTTATATCAAGTCAAAATATTCCCCAAAATAATTTAAAGACGATTCCCGATCAAAAACGTTTTTGGTAGAAAAAGTTTTTCGAGTTACATAAATATCAATGGAGATGCAATTTTATAGATAAAATCAATAAAGCTTAAAAGTGAAGCCCAAAACAAAGTAACACACCCAACAATGGTTGAGATGTGATACATCCAAGCAGTCTAAGTCGACAATAATATCATGTGAGTTAATATAAAACTAGCTCCAATGTTCATGTAACCAGACAGGTTCTACCAATCCGAAGAGTAAAGTAGGTTTCCATTCAGTCAGTAGTAAACAGTGTCTAGCACTGGTCGTCCTAAGAGGGACTCCCCATTTATTACAGGCCTGGGTAAGGCCGCGTACATACCAATGGATAGAGCATTGGCCGTCTAGTGTAGGGACTAGACTCCCCAGCTAGGCGTGGGTGGGCCCTGTAGAAATACAGATCTTCCTTCTTAGCTTGAGGTCATCATTATTCACACATTCACTGCAGATTTGGATGAACTTTGGATCTCTGGAGCAGTTTAGGATCGCCAAGTGTGGAGTACCCAGATCTTCCAGATTGGAGACCTCGTTACCAATACTGAGAAGATATGAGGCTTGGTCCCTAAGGTCTTCGTCAACATGACCACAACTAGTCAGTATATGAATTGCAGTTTGTTCTTCATGACCACAGGAGCAATAGGGAGATGGCCATTTCAGTCTGTCAAGGACAAAAAGAAATGAGTTTAGAAGATTGTTTTTGTAAAACAAGCTCATGACTAGAACCTCAGTTTCTCTGCTAGTATGATAAGGGAACTTCAGGGGGGTGGTAGACACCACGGGAATTTGAGACCAGCCCTCCATTTGTAACTGGTTCTTAATAGATTCCTGCCATACGAATTCAGTGAATTGTTTGATAGAGACCTTGGTGTAATGGCAGGCTTTCCTAGAGAGCTCGAACAATTTCGAGGCATCATTCAGTCCAATTATTATTGCATCACCTGGCAGAACAGAGTCAGCATGTACTTCAACCTTCCACTTTAGAAATTTCAACACATCCCGCATCTGGCCCAGAATTTTTGTGTTTCCGGATTCTATCTCTCTGCATATGAAGTCATGGTGTACATCGATATGTATACTACTGAATACCTTCAGGTAGTGCTTTACCGATATTATTCTGTTTGTAACCCGGAGTGGGGGTATTCCCAAGATGACCTCTAGTATGGCATTTTGAACATTGAAGACTGCTCCCACAGCAGATTTTGCAACCTTGTACCAAAGTTTGTTCAGTTCCAGCATGTTGGCATTAGTTTGCCAGATAAACGAGCCATAGAAGAGGGAGGAAAACATCACAGTTTTGGCCAACCTCACTAGGACCTTTTGGTTCATCCCCCAATTACGGTTTGTATACCTGCTCAGACAAACCCAGCGGTAGATTAGCTTGTTGTATACATCCTGGCTGTGCTGCTTGAAGTTCAACTTACTGTCAAGTGTTATACCAAGTACTTTGCTGCTGTCTGTGAGATAGATGGTGTTTCCACATAGATCAAAGGATTTGGGAACAGCTGAAGCATCTTGGCATTGGAAACATATAACTTCTGTTTTATTCACATTACAGTTTATGACCATCCTCCATTGAGAAGTCCATTCCCCTATGAATCCCATCGCCAGCTCTAGGTAAAAGAGACATTCTTCAAGATCTTTTCCAGTCACTTTGATGGTTCCATCATCTGCAAATTTGAAGGCCTGAATCTGCTCATACAGTTGACACAGGGTCTCCATGTCGAACACATAAAATTTGAAAAGGATTGGTGACAGAACAGAGCCTTGTGGCAGCCCATAATCGAGGCACATCCTAACAGGACCAATGAAACCATTTAGGAGGAGGCTTACCGTCCTCCCAAAGAGGAAACTATCAATTGTTCTTAGGTAGCATCCATGCACACCAACCTTCCATAGTTTCACTATCAGGCCTTGTTTCCACACCGAGTCAAATGCTTTTTCGAAGTCAATGAATAGGCAGAGAACGGTCAGTTTTTTCATCATGTCTCCTTTAATTCCAGCTGTTAGCCTGTGCAGATACCTTATAGTGTTTCTACCTTTTGAGAAGCCTTCTTGGTTGCTATCAATGAGTCCGATAGTGAAAAGATATGTTTCCAGCCGGCATGCAAGAATCCGTTCAAAGAGTTTGCCTAAATATGAAGAGATTGAGATTGGTCTGTAAGAACCAGGCTTTGCATAACTGCTCTTTCCTTCTTTTTTCAGAAATATTATGTTAGATGCATTCCAAACCCATTTTCCATTTCTCAGGCAGAGGCTAAAAAGTATACTCAGGGCATGCAATGCGTTTGGACCAAGGTGTTTGAGCATAGATGGATGAACTTGGCAGTTGTCGAAACTTCCTGCTGTGGATTTATTTCCCTTAATTATACCAAGGATTTCCCCGTGTGTAACTGGGCAGTAAAGCTTTGAGCTGTGTTGAAAGTTATCCATGGAATCAGCAAATGGCTGAAATCCATCCTCTTTGATTTCTGAGTATAGTTTGTTGGTTTCATTATAGAAGTTCTGATCAAATTTATCTATGTTTTCTACAATGTGCTTACCCATGAAGAATGTCTCAAACAACTCTTTTTCTATTTCTTTATTCTCTGTCATGACTGTCCCATCCTCATTAACCAGAGCTTCCACTTGTTGGTCAGTTGGAGGCTTAAAAAGTCTGTTGAAGTCTTTCCAGAATTTGTTTGCTTGAGCTACATTTAGATTTTGGGTCTTGTTCACTATAAACTGCTGACATGCTTGTTTCCTTGTTTCCTCAAAGATTTCTTTTGCTGCTTGAAACCTCTCAAAGGCTTCATCTGTGTTTCTGGTCAGGTAGGTTCCAAGCGCATCCCTTAGTTCTTTTGATTTAGATGACAGCTCTTTTGTCCAATAGGGCTTACTGTGTTTTGTTACCAGCTTTAGTGAGCAGTTTGCTTTTGTAGCTTCATTTATTGTATCTTCAATTAGCTTCCATAAGTTGTCAATACTGTTGTCAAAAGCTAAGGATTCGATTGCTTCTGCAGAAAGTGTCTGTTCTATATCACTAGTCCAGTCGTCCCAGTTCATGGAGGATAGATCCAGTTTCTTTTCCGATTTTTTGGCATCTCTGGGACATCTGGGGTTGATAGTTATTGTCACAGGAACATGACCCCTTACTGGGGCTCCACTGTACAGAATGGCTTTGTCATCAGTGAAAGGAGTGCCCAGATTGTAGTCTAGGTCATTCGATGTAATGAAGAAATCAATGAGGCTGCTACCATTTTTTGATAGAAAGGTCCTAGATGAAGGAGCATGAACACTAAACTTTGACCAGTCTAGACATTCCTCAAGGCACTTACCATATTTGTTATTGACTGAGTCATTCCAGATAATGTGGCGAGCATTAAAGTCCCCCATGGTAATAATTCCTGAGCACTGGTGTTTCTTGGCAAGATTATAGGCTTTGTCAAGCATTCCATTAAATTCCTTCACACCGGATAGATAGTCCAGTTTCAGATAGACATTACCAATTATGTACCGTTTTCCACTCCAACACAGCATACCCCAAACAGTATCAATGTTCTTTGAACACTTAGAGATGTCACAGAATTGGGTGAACATTGCATCATTTCGAACCATAACAGCACAGCCTTTGTTGGTCTGGTTGTTGGTGTCCTCGTAAGTTTTCATGTTGTCCAGTTTCTTGTATTCCTGATTTCTGCCAGTTTCTTGGATTGAGAGGAGAATAATATCATTATCAAACACATATTTGTTTAGCATCATGTGGCTTCGCTGGGAGAGCCCACAGATGTTGATAGTACATATTTTTCCTAGGATATTATTTTTACTTCTACCCATATCTAAACAGGAACTAGTGCTAGTCATATTGACGATCTACTGAGAATTGAGCCAATTTATTCTTGTATACTTCACAATCATAGGAGCCAGCTTTGTGATCTTTGTTGCAGTGTGCACATTTGAATCCTGTGGTTATGTCACATGAAAGACTCTCATGATTTCCTGCACATTTCCCACACTTAGCAGATTTGTTGCAGTACCTGTGAACATGGCCCCAGCCCTGACACTTATTGCACTTTATTACTCTTGATTTTCGTTTGTATTCCTCAACAATGTATCTCTGGTTGCAGAACTTTATCTTTTCATCCATTACTTTGAGCAGGCTGTTTCTAGATTTGAATTCAACTTTAATCAGTCCCATGAATGAATTGTCACCTTTGCGCTTGAGGAACTCGCAGCCCTCTATATCCTCTGAGTAATTATTCATGATATCATCTTTCATCTGATCTTCAGATAGGTCATCGTAAACGTGTTTGACTATTCCAGTGGTGTTGTCAGCTCCCGGAATTTTCATGCCCTTATTTCCTCCAAAGAATTCAGTAGACCAGCTATCATGAACAGCCTTGGCAGTGGTCTCATCCTCAAACTCAAAGGTTATAGAACCAGATGCTGTTAGGCGACAGTGTTTAATGACTAAGCCTTTGTGGTGTTTGTTGAACTCTTTCCTGATATCACGACTGGTGCGGATGTTAGTTTTAATACTTTCAACACTACTATATAACAAATAATTTGAGTTCAGGGATGGCAAGTAACAATGTACCCGAGAGGGTGTCGATACGAAAAAAACGTGGAGTCAAGACGAGTCCCCCTAAGGATTCATCTTCTGATAATGTCCCAGTGCCAGAGGAAAAATACTGCCAATGTGATGTTTACATGTCAGAAGAACTATCAGTTGAATGTGAAGCTTGCCAATTATTTTGGCACCTGAGTTGTGTTGGTTTATCTGGCCTTAAAAACGAGATGTTACTGAATCTAACAAACTGGAAGTGCCCATACTGTTTTGTGGCGCCTCATACCTCAGCTGACACTAAGGAAAACGGGGCTGTCAGGGCTATTATTAAAGAGGAACTCCAACATTTGACCCCAGCCCTGACTAACTCTATTAAGGAAGCTATTAAAGGAAGCACAGATAAAACTGTCAACAAAGCTGTGCAACTTTACTCAGACATTACAGCAAAATCTCAGAGGACAGTAATAGAAGATCTGAGCAACTCTCAGTCATCAGAAAATGTTATTGCTAAAGTGCAGTCCAAGATGCACACTGATGCATTTGAAAGGAACAGAAGGAAACATAACTTATGTGTTCTGAAGGTTCCTGAGAGTAAGGAGAAGAACCCTAAGCAGCGTCAGAAAGATGATGTCTCTTTCTGCGTAGAAACACTCAAGATGAAGAAAGACGACATTGTTAGCTGCCATCGTGCTGGAAAAGTTGATCCAAACAACCATGACTACTGTCGACCTCTCATCATACAGACAGTCGACGAAGAGTCAGTAAATTTTTACTCTGACTTTGGTAAAGGCTGGAAGGAATCGTCCTACTGGATCAATCAAGACCAGTGTAGATCAGACCGCGAGATCCATTTTTTAGCCAGAAAGGAGAGGAAGAAGAGACAGTTGGAAGCAGAGAAGGAAAGGTTGGAAAAGACGAAAGGAGAATCAGTAAAGGCTTAAATATATTTTACACCAATGCTAATGGACTTTTTAATAAAATTGATGAACTTAAATGTATTTTATCAGTATATAAATCTATTGATGTGATTTGCATAACAGAAACTCATTTTAGTTGTGACATATTAGATGCTGAAATTTTTATTGAAGGTTTTACTATGTTTAGAAAGGATAGAGATTTTAAGATTGACAATTCAACCAATATTATAAGTGGGGGTGGTGGTTCTATCATTTATATCAAAAACAGTTGTAATGCTTCTTTAGTAAGCTCTTTTTTAAGTGCACCAGACTCTTTAGCTGTTAGTATTAACACATCTGGTGGATTGATTACTATTTGTTGTATTTATAGATCAACTTCTTTAAATTTAGGACAGAACAATACATTACTATCTTGTATCAAGGGTATATGTAGTGAAAAGAACAATTCTGAAGCAATCCTTATAGGAGATTTTAATTTACCTACTGTATCATGGGTAAATGGAAGTGTAAATAATAATATTTTTAGTAGAAATCAATTTTTAACTATTCAACAGAAGTATATGGATATTTTTAATGACAGTGGTTTAACATGGTACTTTACCAACGAAACAACCAGAAGACGGCTTGTGAAAGATACTCTCCAGGAGAGCCTCCTTGATCAGGTCTTGTATACAAATGATGCTCTTGTCAACGGTTGTAAGATTGTTTCACCGCTTGGTAAGAGTGATCACGTTGGGATACTTGTCGAACTGGTTGTTTCGCCAAATACTGATAAGAGTCCTAAAGAGAAAACTGTAAAACCTATCTGGGGTAAGATTTCGTCTGATGAATTATTGAAGTTTAGTATGAATAACATTGACTGGGATTATAGTTCTACAAATTATAATGTTCAAGAAATGTGGACTGAACTACATGGTAAACTAGAGGCTGTTGCCGCTGCTGTCCCAGCTGCTTCTGTTTATCTCGACAACAGGCCTGTCAAGTTGCCATGGAGTACAACTTCACTTAAGAGAATGAGGAAGAATAAGGACAAAGCATGGGCTGAGTTTGATAGAAATCCATCTGTAATCAATTTTAGTTATGCTAATAGCAAGCAACATATTTTTGAAGTGGCTGAAGTTAAAGCTAAAGTTAACTATGAAAAGAAGATTACATCTAATTTAAAGCAGAATAGTAAGTCTTTTTACTCATATTTACGTAACAAAAGACAAGTAAAATCAAGTGTGGTTTCCTTGGATAGAGGAGATGGTACACGCACAGATAGTTCTGCTGAGTCTGCTGAAGTACTTGCAAGTGCCTTCAGCTCAGTGTTTGTGTGTGAGCCACCTGGCCCTCTTCCTAAAAATGACACTTTGGATTATGATAAAGATGTTATTAGTGATTTGCAAGTTAGCAGTGCTGATATTAAGAAGCAACTTTTAAAGCTTAATATTTTTAAGAGTTCAGGTCCGGATGGTGTTCATCCAAAGTTATTAAAATCGTTAGCTTATGATAACAACTTTGTAGAAGCAGTCACTAAATTATTTAAAATGTGTTCAGAAACGGGATCTCTTCCTGAAGTGTGGAAGTCAGCATCCGTTGTAGCATTGTTTAAAAAGGGTGTTAAATCAGATCCCTTAAACTATAGACCAGTTTCCTTAACTTGTATTTTGTGCAAAGTGTACGAAAAGTTGGTGAGGGCACATTTATTGGATTTTTTAGAAGAACGAATATCAAAGCATCAGCATGGATTTGTTAAGGGCAAATCTTGCTTATCTAATCTTTTAGAGACATTTGATAATATTCTTGATATTTTAGATGAAGGTGATCCTGTTGATCTACTGTATTTTGATTTTAGTAAGGCCTTTGACACTGTCCCCCACTTTAGACTTTTATCTAAATTGGAGGGGTTTGGGGTCAAAGGAAAAGTTTTAGATGTTATTAAAGATTTTCTTACAGACAGAACCATGAGGGTTTGTGTAGAAGGACAATGGTCTGAGGTGAAACACGTGTTATCTGGTGTTCCCCAGGGGTCAGTATTGGGTCCTCTGCTATTTATTCTTTATATTAATGATTTACCTGATATAGTCAAGAATAAGATTAAATTATTTGCAGATGACCTCAAGTTGATTGGTAATGCAGCTAACCACAGCAGTGTTGCTGAAGATATTGTAGAACTGGAAGTCTGGGAGAGTATTTGGCTTTTGAAGTTTAATCCTGCTAAATGTAAAGTTGTTCATATTAACCTTAATAGCAACCCTAACTTAAATTATTTAGTAAATGGCGTAGAACTTGAAGTATCTGATCAGGAAAAAGATTTGGGGGTTATTACCCATAGTTCCCTGCTTTGGAATGAACAGATAAAAGCATGTATTTCCAAGGCAAATCGTATGATTTGCTGGATTGTAAGGAATTTGATAATTAGAGAAAAATGTGTAATGATAGCCATCTATAAAGCTTTGATAAGACCTCATCTAGAGTATTGTGTCCAATTGTGGAATCCAGTTGCGGCTCATGGAAGTTGGGGGACTGTTTTGGAGCTGGAGAGCGTCCAGAGGCGGTTTACCCGTCTGATTGATGAGGTGGGTACTCTTCCTTACAGCCGTAGACTGGAAATCCTTAATTTGACAACGCTGGCAGAGCGGCGAATACGTGGGGACCTTATTGAAGCTTTTAAGGTTATTAATGGCTTGACTGATTATGGTTCAGACTTGTTCAGACCAAGCAGATCAGGTCTTAATCTGGTTTCATCCAATAGATGTAGTAAGAGTGTGACAAAGGTCAAGAATCTTCAGTGTTCTTTTCTTCCAGAGCGGGTTGTTCCTTATTGGAACAAACTCCCTTCGGAGGTGAAGAACTGCTTGACAGTTTTGAGTTTTAAAATTGGATTGGAAAGTTTTAAAAAGAATATGATTTCTAAATGTATTGTAAATGACTTTCATTTTTGGAATGTTTCGAAAGAAGTTTTAACAAGAATTGAAGGTACCAGTTATATCAGTAATAAGGAAAAACACAATGATTATCTGTGGTTCCATCCTTATGTAGCAAAGAAACGTTTTATAAATCTTTACTCCACTGGGAAGTATGAATAAATTAAATTTTGTAATGTTGTTTTTATTCATGATTAATATTTGATAAATTATTACCTTTAAATTTGATGGAGAAATAGCTATTTTTCCATGTAGTGTGATGATACTTTGTAGACATTAGTGATGATGTTATGTCATAATTTTTACTTTACTTTTTACTTTACTTTAGTGTCACCTGGTCTGACTGCCACTCTTATCCGTTTAAGCTTATCTGCATTCTGGCTATCCCTAGTAGATTTAGTCATTGTGTGGAGACTCTCAACCAAGTTTGTAGGAAGCAAAGCACTTCGATGGTGATTCGCATTACTTGCTTTACTGGTCACTCCACTATAGGATGGTTTACTGGCAATACTAACAAGGTCCTCTACCTGATCTGACATGAGATTAATTGTATTTGCCGTCTTGGTAACCTTCTTTTCAATTCGCCTTAGCTTGAGGGCAGCACTGCCATATACTCTATTGCAGGGTGGACATAGAACCTTGACATAGCCAGGGGACTTGGTAATAAAATCAAATTCTGGTTTAGTAAGGGGTCTGCTAGAGCATTGGTTGTGAAAATACATGTTACAACCATCACATTCAATTCCCGATCCACTGGAATCACTTTTGTCTGTGACTTCCCCAGCACATACTTGGCATGGATATAACTTTGCCAGACTTGTTTTTTGGAAACAGCCCTTCAAAACTGTCATCTTTTGTTTTAAAATCCACAAAATCACCATTTTTGAATATCACCTGTATGTCAGATTCATTGTATTCACTTAGCCCGTTGTTGTAAATTACGCTGGACTTCAATAGTTCGATCCGGCCGTCCAAGTCGTAGTCCTGTGGGGCAATCAGCTGAAGTTTACGGTGTATCTTGTCAATCTGGGGGGTTGAGACATTAGTCAAGGAAATAATAGTTTCGCCTGGCATAGTACCAAAGAGGATGAAGATACCAAAACCAAATCCAAGCTAATTAGATAGTAGTAAGGAGGTTGGGCCAAAGACTGGATCAAAATCGAAAAAGTTTGAACCAACCGGAGAGGTTCCGACTTATGGGTCGGACTCCCTTTGTATATTTGGGAAGACGAGAAGAAGGAGATCTTCAGTTTCAGGTATTGAGGCGTTATCTGGTCTGAGTTTTCATATTGTCTTATCTACGGTCCCACTACTTGTTTGCGTACATGTCACATACCTCAAATTATTTGTTATATAGTAGTGTTGAAAGTATTAAATTGCTAAGGATTGGGTTAGGGTTAGGGTTGGGATCAAATTAGAGGGTTAGGATTTCGAATAGTCGTTCAGGACCAGCTAGAGAACAAGTTGAAAAAGTCACGTGACAGTCGAGTGTAGAGTGATTAATCTTGTATCACGTTGCGACCCCCACGGTCGTTTCACTGTAGCGTCTTCGACGCTACAGGGGGAGCCGCGCACTTCGTGCGCGGCGGGTCATACAACGTATGACAAGATTAATCATCATCCCAGTAAAACCGGATGCAAGTTTACGTTTATACTTTCCATGACTTCCAAATGATTAAATTTGAATCATAGCGTCAATAATTGCACTACATTGAACTTAACAGGTGATACTTTTGACCATTGTTAATGATCTGGCCCGGCGCGCGCTACTTCGTAGCACTTGCCATCGAGAAGAAAGCGGCGCGCGCTACTTCGAAGAAATTTAGACGAGTAACATCCGTCAAGTGATACTTGTAAAATATTTGTTCCGTCGACGAGTCCAACTCGGCGCGCGTCCTGGTAGGTTATAAACCTACAACATTAAACGAATATCGATTGTGTGTGCAGTGTGGTGTTCTTAATATTCAATTAGTACATTTTCAATTTTGTACTCACAAATGTACCTCAACCATCAACTGAAATTGAATAGTCTTTGATGATTTACACATTTTATAATAATGATTTACACATTTACATTGACGGATGTTACTCGTCTAAATTTCTTCGAAGTCGCGCGCGCCGCTTTCTTCTCTCACCCAAGCAGCTCCATTAGAACTTCTTCTGCCCGATGGCACGTGCTACGAAGTTGCGCGAGCGCGCGCCGGTCCAGACCATTAACAATGATCAACATTTACATCATCATTTGTAGCGTGCGATACGTTACTGTGCTGCGCTGCGCACATAATGAAGTTACTGGGCCGCGCTCAGCCTGTCATTCCGCCTAATCTTTATGTTTAAGAACATAATAGCCTGAGGTCCCCAGGTAAATAATGAAGCTTCTCTTTCGATCGGCAAAATGCGCTACTGTGCCTCGCCGAGCTGCGATGAATTGACATCGTCAATTAAAAAGTTATAGTGCTTTATCCAGAGTCCTTGCCGTTGCAGTAGCGCGCGCCCGCCGACCCGGCGGGCAAAACGTATATTTATAAATCCTCAGTAACACTTTTATTACCTGGAGACCCCAGGCTATTATGTTCGTAAACATAAAGATTTGGCGGAATGACAGGCTGAGCGCCCAGTAACACTTTTACTGTCAGCAAATTTTGTTTCAAAAATTTAATTTAAAATTATCAGCAAATAATTTAACTTTATTTAAACAAAGTCAAGAAGATCGGGAAAATCTAAAATATTGTCAAAAGTCTGAAGCAAATTCAACAAACAGGATTTCCCTAACAAATCCATTCTGGTAGTCAAATATTATTCTCCAAATAATTCACAATGTGTTGTCTCACAAGTTGTTCAAAAATATTACACAAAATACAAGTCAGAGATACAGGCCGATAATTTAAAGGGTATGCCTTTGACCCCTTCTTAAACAATCCGACAACAGATGCTGATTTCCATACTTTTGGCAATTCACCAGTTTTAACACATCCCTTAAATAATTCAGTTAATGCATCAACAATTTAGGGTGAACTCCATCTGGTCCACAACTTTTATAAACATTGAGCTTCAGTAATTCACTTTTCACAATAGGAGAGTTAATTTCAAGGTCAGAAATATTGTATTCCTCACTATCATGCATCAACTCAGGCAATGGTCCATGGGATTCAGTAGCAAACACAGAACTTTATTTACGATTTTGCACAGGAGTTCTTAAACAACCTGCAATATTTCGATCCTGAATTCATTCAGCGACCAAGATTAATGCTTACATTACTATATGGTGTTCTCCATCTATTCAGACTGTTTTTGCTTCCGAAATAAAATCCCTAATTACTCTGAACCTGATACAATGATTATATTCATTGGACCTCAAAAAATAAGCGTTTTACTGCACATATCACGGGTCCGTATATAGCCGATTTTGCAGATTTAAGTTACAGAAAAGCTAGCGGACCTAGCGGCAATATCGGATAGCTAGCGGAAACTAGTGGGTGTGTTAATGAAGCTAGTACTATTCTCCGCTAGTTTGCGCGTGGCGTCCGCTATCCTCCGCTAGCCATCCGCTAGGTATGAATGCTGCATTTTAGTGCATCTCCGTTAGGCGCCCGCTAGCCATCCGCTGGCTTTTCTGTAACTTAAATCAGGCAATACGGACCCGTGATATGATCTCAGTCAGTGAGGTAACAAAGGGCCCCGCTGACCCTGCTGTGCGGGGGGCGCCATCTAAGGGGGCGCAAAATTGTCGTTTGAATGTGGACAATTTAAAAAAACTTAACTGAGGTACTAGCAAAACTGCGCATTTTGCTCTAGAAACACACTTTTTAGAGATTTTACCGGCGTATCCTCTAAAATCACCTAATTTGTTCAATTTTAGGGAGGGGCACCGAAAGGGGAGGGGCGCCAACAGGCAACGTTATTAATGCTTTTCATGCCACTGATCTCAGTTTGACTTATTGAGACATCATTAAGTCATGTACAGCTTTCCATTGTATTGTGTTTTTTTTTTGTGTTTAAAAATTGTGTTTTAACATCTGTTTTAACTAGTTTTAAACTCTATATAGGTATGTCTGCGTTGAGGCTATCAGGTGCTTTAAGGGAAGTTCGGATTGTGCTTTGTCAATACTCTGCAGCAAGTGCCGGTGCTCGTGAATTTGTGTCACAGAATTATGTAGAGCTGAAAACAGAAAATCCAACTACCCCAATTCTGGTTAGAGAATGCAGTGACGTTAAACCCATGCTATATGCCAGGTGAGATTTAGATAGTTGGTACATGCATTGAAATGTGAGCATATATTTAACTTGCATTACTGTGTAATAAATCATTTAAAAGTTCACAGCCTCTTTCTTACCCGCATGGTACCAGAAATTGATTCACTTAAATAATGAAGATGTTGTCTTGCTTAGTAACAGTATAAATATTCAAACAAAGAAAAAATATCTGGTTACATTTTCCAGTTTCAGTTTGAAATTATTGAAAATTATAACTTAATTCTTTAAATCAGGTTTGCCCATGGAAGAGAGAAGAGCGCAGGTATTGATGACCTTGAAAGCAGTGAGATCCTTGAGAAGCTTAAAAGCTTGGACGAATCAAGCTTACAGGAAGCTGGAAACTCGTCTGTGTCATAAGACACTAAAAAGACTTAAAAGGACATTCGTGAGCTGCGAGATAAAACTGAATTAGTGGAACCCTTGTTGGATTTATATCAACTTTAGGGCTTTAATTTCCTTTGTCGTATGTATAATGTTTTAGTTTGACTCTGTGTATCTAAAGTCATTGACTGTGCAACTCATTGGTAAAGTTTATGACAAATTGTCAAACTTAGCGATGCAACCTTGCTAGGCTTAATAAATGAATTATACTCTAGATTAAGTATTGTCATGCAAAGATATGTCCCTCAGTGGATTCGAGATCTGTCATTAAATTGGTTTTTAGCGTGATTGTGGAGTACACATGATAAATAATTTAAGATGTGTTTTCATACTTTCATAGAAATGAATGATCAAACAAATCATATTAAGTTATTGCTCTCTAGATGCTATTAATAAACATTTTCTATTAATATTCAACAATCAACATACTTTGTTGAACAGCCACTCGTTTTACTGCCTTTCTTTAAATAAACTAAGTATCTTCAGCTAACCAGAGAATCATATAAATTTTAAGTTGTTCACTAAGAAACTTGAATACTGAATATTGATTTTGTCCTTGAATTTCTAATCCCATAAACTTCCACATTGATTAATCACAATTAACGGTAAACAGAACAGGAGGAGTTGCTTTCACATATATAACATCGACTGATGAATTTTCGAAATAAGAAACTCATAATTGTCTACATAATCTGATTATTTATCATTTATGAGCTTCAACTAATTGAATGCGGCATTCCATCTAGCCATCTAGGTCATGCAACGAGATAATATCTTGATAAGATTATGAACGATAATTGGGTCAAAATCGTTATTGTTTTATCCCGATGATTTGGTACTGATAACTGTTAAATTAGTCAAACATTCCTCCGATTTAATTATAGAAATTTAAGATTTAATCCTTGGTGAATATGCTTTTTCTCATGAACGCCTACACAATCTAAAACACAAAGCAGAGCTTATTTAAATATATATATATAGACAGAGTTATGACTTATGTTAAGTCTTACTATTGTTATTACTATTATATATCTAGTCTTTTAATCTAAATTCTGGACAAAACTATCATTAGGAGACAGGAACAGCATTCCCCTGATTACAAGACAACCCAAACAAAAGTATGGTAATTCTCAAGGCGTGGGCACATCTATATATATATATACCGAAATCGACGGATGACCGATAATATTCCATCTATTTATCATGATGTTAGTAACTAAAAATATTACAGAAAGGATTATAATATGGCAACTGATCTGAAAGTGGGGAACAAGTACAGACTGGGAAGGAAGCTGGGAAGTGGATCTTTTGGTGACATTCATCAGGGTTAGTAAGGAATGGTAGGATTTAGGATACTATCTAGGATCGAGGATAGTTAAATTAAATGTTCACCTTTATAAACTCATCACTGTATGCTGATACTATTCCAGATAAATATATTTTTCCTTTATTCTGGCTAAACCTATGAAAGTCCCTGTATTTCACAATCATTCACTCCCCACCTTAATCACAAACATTGTCAAGGAACCACACTGGCAACAGATGAGCCAGTAGCTGTGAAGCTGGAGAAGAGAAGAACAAAGCACCCTCAGCTCCACATAGAGGCTAAGTTCCTCAGTATGCTTCACGGAGGAAGTGAGTCCCCAGGTTAAAATGTCAAAAAGCCTGTGCTGTTTTCTGTACTGTACCCTGTGTAAATCAGATATTGAAATGTAC